CACCTTGTGGTAGCCACACTCATCCACTCACATGGCCCTGACTGCTAAGTACTCCAAGGCTTCTGTGCCTTTGCATTGCTCTCCCCTCTGTTTTCTACTAAACCTGTAGCATCAAACTTCTTCCTCTGAGACTAAATTTAAGGTTGAGGATATAGATGGAAATTCAGCGTCGTGTTAAGGTGAATATGGTGGAATAAAGGAGCTTATGGTGCAGTTGTCTCTATCCAGCAGGGTAGAAAATCACCACCTACAGGTGGTAATGAGGGAAATTTTACGAAAGATTCCTCTTTGCTTCCTAAACATCCCCTGTCTCCTGGGTGAATGAATGAAGCTGAGCTGCCCATCTCCCTCTGTGAACCGTGTTTCAGTCTATGTCTGTGAAACATCTGTTGTGTCTCACTCCATGTGCAGTAACTGACGGCAGCAGACCGTGTGGCCAGGGTGGTCACATCTGGAGGAGAAATGAGACAGATGGTTGTCTGAAAGAAGAATAGGGTCAAAGCTAAAAATAATTTTTTTAGTCAACAAGAAACATAAGCTTGCTTTTTAAGAAAAGATCAATTTTACTTTTCTGGATGATCATGATGAAAAAACAGAAAAGGCTTTCCCCGGCTAAATTAGTTTTAAGGATGGTAACATCACTAAATAGATAATGACTGCTATGATCATTATTTTTAGACTAAATAATTCCATTATAATATTATATTAGCCAATGAATTAAGGGAAGGAGATATGTAAATATAAATACCTTAGATAGAACAATACTATTCCTACATTTTATACATTCATTTGTTTACTCATTCAACAAAACATTTATTCAGTGTCTGTTATGAGCATTTTAAAAAACAATCGGTGTCTCCCCTATTTAACACCCTTCAGTGTCTTCTAAGGCAATGAAAAAAACTGAAGCTAAGGAGAGGTGCTAGTTACACAATATTGTGAATGTACTAAATGCCACTTAATTATATGTTTTCAAATGGTTAGTTGTATGTTATGTGAACTTCGCTTCAATTAAAAAAAAACTAAATACATTACATAATCCTAGAATGGATTCTATCTTGGAAGAAAAAACAATGTTAAAGGACATTATTGGGTCAATTGACAAAACTGGAATGTGGACAATAAACTATTGTATCAATGTTAAACTTTCTGAAGGTGATAAGTACACTCTAGTCTGGTTATGTCAGAGAATGTTGTTATTTTTAGGAAATACGGAGTAAAGTATTTGGGGGTAGAGGGTGTGATGTATACAATTTATGTTCAAATGCTTCAGAAAAAATATATACATGTAGAGACAACAAAAGATACAGCAAATGGCGGGCAGATTGTTTGAGCTCAGGAGTTCGAAACCAGCCTGAGCAAGAGCGAGACCCTGTCTCTATTGAAAATAGAAAGAAATTAATCGGACTACTAAAAATATATAGAAAAAATAAGCCGGGCATGGTGGCGCATGCCTGTAGTCCCAGCTACTTGGGAGGCTGAGGCAGAAGGATCGCTTGAGCCCAGGAGATTGAGGTTGCTGTGAGCTAGGCTGATGCCACGGCACTCTAGCCCAGGCAACAGAGTGAGACTCTGTCTCAAAAAAAAAAAAAAAGTATATGATATAGCAAATGGGGCAAAAGGTTAACAACAGGAGAAATTTGAGTAGAGTACACAGTGCCTGTCACTCTTTCATTTCTTTCACACAACTGAATCACGTTATGAGATTATCCTATTAGCTTATTTAGCTGTTGTTTATTGTCTGTCTCCCATTGTTTCGATGCCAGCTCCCCCGAGGCAGGGAGTCTTGTACTCTCCTGGATCCCCAATTCTAGAATGATCCCTACTCCCTAGGGGCACTCGGTTAAGACTGGTTGAGTGACGGAAAGATGTGGCAGTGCTAGGTCCTGGAGAGGGAAATCAAAAAGCGTAAAAGAGCATGGACCACTTCATACCCTCCCACCCCCAACGCACACACACTCACACACTCACACCTGGCCCCTTTCTTGGAATGCTCGCCTCCCTCGGCTTCCCTGCTCCCACATGCTTCCTGTTCCCCTCCCTGACTTCTCTGGCCAGTCTTCTGCTGCTCTTCCCTCAGTCTACTCCTGCTATGAGGGCATTCTTGGAATTCTATCCTTAAGCCTCTCTGTTTGTTAGTTCAGTACTCTCTCCCCAGTTGTTTTCGTTTATTCATGTATTCCCCAGCCCTCATGTGCATGTGTGCACACGTGTGTGTGTGTGTGTGTGTGTGTGTGTGTGTGATCTCCAACCCTAACCTCATTCTTAATTCCAGACCCATAGACCCTCAAACTGAACGCAGCTAAAACTTCACGCATCATCCTCCCTTCCCAACTGTACTTCCTCCTGTACTTCCTAGCTTGATCAATGGCTTCACTCATGTCTCTCTCACTTCCATCACTATCTTGCTTAGGCCCCATTTCTTCAATATTTTTGATATTTGCTTTCTCCTTGCTGCATCACTTGCCTGGCTCCATCCATCCTCACTTCTTGGTATTCCACTGTTACAGCTTTCTCACACGGCCTTCCCTATTCTATTTTCTGGCCTCCCCTAGAGGCTGCTTCTAGTGTTACCTTCCTAAAAAAAGTTGGCTGGATTACTGCTATTTTCTCTTCAGAAACCTGTGGTCTTTATTGTCTATAAAGTCCTATCTTCACAGTATGCTGTTAAATGCTTTCCGCGCTCTGCTACCAGATGGGGTCCCTGGATACATCTCCCACAGTGACACTTCCACAGGCCAGGCACCTTGTGGTAGCCACACTCATCCACTCACATGGCCCTGACTGCTAAGTACTCCAAGGCTTCTGTGCCTTTGCATTGCTCTCCCCTCTGTTTTCCCCTTGAAATATAATATCCCTTTGTCCTTCAAGGATCAATCAAAATACTTCCTTCCCTATGAAGCCTTTCTGAATCCACCAAGTCTGAATTAATTGTTCTTCTCTGTTCCCACAACATGTTACTCTTTAAGTCATTTTCCCTGGTATTATGGTTAATTTCTTATGTATCTGTCACCACAGATTTTATGCCCCTGGAGGGCTGGAAGCACACATCATTCACATTTATAGCCTTCATCCGGCACGATGCACAAAAAGTCCATAATAAATGCATCCTGTATTGATATGAACTCTCTGATGCTTCCTGTTTGTGCCCAACCCCATGGCACTCACTTACTGCCTGTCAGTCCTGCTTTTTGTATATGTGACTTATGTCTCCAGGAAATGATAACTTGGTTATGTTCACCTTTATATCTCCACCTCATCTATCACCGTGTCTTGCAGCTACCAAATGCTACATGAGTGAGTGAAGGGATAGATAAATAATACATTTTAAAGTACCAGGAGACCAAATTACTGGGTAAATTTACTATTCAAACCTCACCATTTTACATATCTCTTTCGATAGTAGCCGTGTCCTAATTAGTCCCCCACAGAACGTGTTTGTACCTGAGTGTAGGTATGTGGATGTGCATAAAACTGTATGTTACTATGTGCTGTAAGATAGACACATCCTGATGATCTGTGAATCAAGTTATTTGTCAAACCTTATATCCTATGGAAGACGTCAATAGTTAGTGCCAATCCTTTGTGTTGGGCAGGGTTGGGGTGGAGGGAGACAAAACATTTTTGAGTACATCTAGACTTTCATATATCAGTTTTACTTAAAACAAGGTATCCCAGAATATTTGGTGAGCCAACACACGTTTCTGGCCACCATTTCTCACATGAGATCCATCTCAAAGATGATTGGAAAATTGAACCTTATAAGATAGGATAAGGACTCAACTTTTCTTCCCTTATTCTCCTACAGAGAATTTCACTAAGCCAACAGAGGAATTAAAAACATTTACTTTCCCTAATGAGGAGGGAATTAAAGCAGTCTGTAATCTTGTAAGTGGTGTCAGACTGAAAAACCTGTCACCCCCAGCATCATTAAAAGGTAAGAAAATTTGACCTGGTATTTATTTTCCAGTACCCAGACTCCACTTTTGCTTTCTCTAGGATGACTATCTAAAAAAGGAAAAAGAAAAATGGTAACATAGATTGGTTGTTTGTTTTGTATTGCCTGCGGCAGTAGTAAGGTTCCATGGTAGGCTTGGCTTTTCCTCTAATTAGAAGCCACCTTCCCCCTGTGGATATTCTGGGGTCTGATTTGAACAAAGGTTTATTCTACTGCATGCAAGAATGAGGTATAGTACATTTTGAATTAAACAGAAACCAAATAATGAGGGAGAAAAAGCTAATACTGAGACATTTTCTGCCATCTACTTTTATGAGAAATGACAGACCAAGGGAGTTTATGTCAAAGATGTATTAGTCTTGTAAAGAAAAATGACTTTCAAGGAATGTTCTAGTATGCATTCAGCTCCAATCCATGCCATCCACAAGTAACTTTAAATGCCTAGAAGGATGACCTCAGGATACCTGAAGGTTCTCAGTCTCCAAAAGAGCTTCATTTATGTTTCATTCACTGTGTCTACTAAAGTAAGGGGTAGACTAGCTTAGCTTCTACTGAGTTCTGTGGGCAAGTCGAGAAGTTCAGATTTTGTCCCTAATGGAAGGACAACCTGGGCAAAATGTCCAAGAAGCCACATGAGCTATGATATTCAAGCTTAGATGAGAAGTTGGGATAGGAGCTATGAACTCTCTGAAACTTAGTCATGGCATACAGATGATAATGTACATCATGAGAATGAGTGAACCTCTGGGGTAGATAGAGAGAAACTTTATTGATAGGAATTTCCAGGAGAAAGGGGAACCAGGGAAGAAGATAGAAGAAGACCAGCTGGGGAAGTCAACAAAGGACTCCTACATGGTAGGCCCTGCTCCTCAGACTACTGTGGCCCACAGTGACCTCTACTCGCCTCATACACCTTTGTCACACTTTAACACAAAATCAGAATACCATGAAATCAATCCTCTTTTTGTCTGATCATGTGCCATGTGTCTTTTTAGACCATAACATCTCCATCTTTTGTACTCTCAGCACAAGTGCTATCTATGAATTGGGTATTAAACAAATACTTCTTTTGACTTAGCTCAGCTAGGTTTCTGAGAACAAGAACTGTAGAGCAGGATGGCTGTCCAGTCTGCCTCGGGAATGTATTTGATAAAGACAGATAACTAGTTTCCTACTGTGTGGCTTTCTACCTGCAGAAATCTCTCTGGTCCAGCTGGATAGCATGAGCCTTTCCCACCAAATGTTGGTGAGATGTGCAGCCATCATTGGCCTGACCTTCACTACCGAGTTGTTATTTGAGATTCTCCCTTGTTGGAACATGAAGATGATGATCCACGCCCTGGCACGCCTAGTGGAATCTAACGTTTTCGATTGTTTCCGGAGTGGCAAGGATCTTCGAATGGCGCTGAAACAGAACGTGGCCTCATTTAAGGTGCATTATCGCTCCTTGTCTCTGAAGCCCAGTGAAGGGACGGGTGAGTAGCACCTGGAAGTGACTCATATTTCCTCCTAAAGGCACATCTAGATAAAAGAATTGATCTATGTTAGGTAGCAGGAACTGATCTGTCACTCACTGCCTGGCCGAAAAACCCTTTCTCTTCTCTCTAGCTCAGGGCGAAACTGAAGAGCTTCATGAACTGGAAAGCGAGGTGATCGAGTGCCACATCATTCGATTCTGTAAGCCTGTGATGCAGAAAACAGCCTCTGAGCTGTGGCTCAAAGACCAGAAGAAAGCCATGCACTTGAAATGTGCCCGCTTTTTAGAAGAAAATGCCCACAAATGTGACTACTGCAGAAACGGGGACTTCATTCCCTATCACCACTTCATGGTGAACATTCGGCTCAACACGTTGGACATGGATACCATTAGGAAGATGGCTAAGTCCTGTGGATTTAAAGGTAAACTTACTTCATTTTTAATCAATCCTAACTATTCTTGGGAAATCTGGAGACTGAGATCTAGAAGGAGTGGATCTGGACCTTAGTGGTTTCAAGTCCCCTGAGGGCTTGGGCATAAGGAATGATGAGACTTCAGCAGTGAAGGACACTGGGGAAGGGGGAGTTGGGAGTGCAGCTAAGTCTAGCAGAACCGTTATCACCATGAGACTCCCAGGGAGGGTTTGGGGATGGGGTTCTGACAAAACGGGGTACAACCAGAGCTCAAATTAAAATGTCCCACTTAATTCACACCAAGGGATGGAATCCAAGGGACCTGGGGGACGCAGTCTGACATGATGAAGTGGGAGCAAAAGCAAAATCCACCAGGGAGTGGTGTTTTTGGCAGGCAAGAACGTTATTGCTTTGTTGGTCCAGTTTGAAATAGGCTCTAATTGAAAAAAAGTATGTTATTTTCTGAGTCTTGATCCATTTCAAGGATTTACAGCCCTCCTGGGCCCTCTCCTTCAGCTTCCTCCTCCTACTTCATCAGTGACCACTCTTCTCACTCCCCTATCTTCCAGAAGTGTGTTGAAATTTCAATCAACATTTCATTTCCTCACTCAATGAATATTTATTGCGTCCCGACTATATACCAGGCACTGCTCACTGCTCTAGGCCCCTGAGATAAATCAGTGAACAAAACAGCATTCTACTGGGGAAAAGTAGACAGCAGAGAAAAAATATATAATAAAGCAGTATCGTTTGTTATAAGTGGTACATCCCCTGGAGAAAAACAGAAAAGAATGTTGGGTAGGGCAAGGATGATTAGGAGTGCAAAACTACTAGAGTGGGCCTCGTTGAGAAGTAAGATTCACATAGGGACAGAGCAAGTGCGGGGTTTTGTTCTGCGGGTGGCTGGGGAGGAGTATCCTAGGCAGAGGGGATAGCTAGTGCAGGAATGTGACCCCTTCCATCCTAGGCATTGTGGGTTTATGCTTTGAAAAATCATCTTTACATCAGTCCTTGAAGTATAAGAAAAAAATAAAATAAAATCATCGTATTCTCATTTAATGGGGTAAAATGTCCTGGTCCTGGGGAGACAGGAGATGAACACAAGAGGTCAGTCTGACACCTTGAACCTAAAGTCTCATTTCTAGGTCTTTGGAACTATGGGGTGAGCAGGTGATATCTTTGCTTTTCTCTTTTCTTCTGAGAACCTACAAGCATTTTGTATTTTTTTTTTATTTTTACAGATCCTCCTTGTAGTAGAGAACTCTTAAGATAATATATGCTTTGTAAATGGAGAAAATTGAGAACCAAAAATAATATCGTTCCCTCAAGGGGTAAAGGATATGACAAGAAACATACCTGTATACCCTGACTTTATTTCATTTATCTATCCAATCTCTACATCTCATTCTATCACCATTACAATTTTAAACATAAAAAATATGCAGGATATTAGAGGAGGAACAGTATTTTGTTTTTAGTAACTGATTTCTTCTCAAACAAACGTGCATTAATGCAACAAACATTTATAAGCATCCATCATGCCAGGTAGTGATCTAGATACTGGGACTATATTGGTGAAAATGATAGACATGTGGAAGCTGACAGACAATAGACAAATTAATTAATAAAACCTCAAGAGGCCTTCTAGACCTTGTAGGCCTAGAATTTCATTGTACGTGAATTCGAACACATTGGAGAGGTATTGATTAGAATTAGTATTGGCTGCATATAACAAGAACCCAACTAGAGTGGCTTAACTTTATTTATTATTAAATTTATTAAATTTATTTCTCTCTCATGTCAAATGCTTGCCTCATCACTAGGACTAGCATGGAGGCTTCATTATCATCAGGGGTCTTGGTTCGAAACAGCTACTGGAGGTCCAACCATTATGTTCACATTTATTGCCAGAGGAAGGAAAAAGAAGCCAAAAAATTAAAGGGAGGTTCCCTCCCTTTTAAGGAATTTTCTGGGAGTATTACCCAATATTTCCTCTTACATCCCATTGGCCAGAACTTAGTCAAATGACCATAGCTAGTTGTAAGGCAGGCTGGAGAATGTAGCTGTCCTGGATAAAATTGAGTTCTATTACTAAGGAGAAAAAGGACAATGGTGATTGGGATGGGAAACCAGCAGTTTCTGCCACAGAGACATGAATAATGTTTCTAAAAACTTAACTGTGTCTTATCTAGATAAACAGATTGAAAGGAAAAGAACAGCAGGGAGATCAGTATTTTACAGTTGTCCAGATAAACTTTTGGTAAACTAGGGTGGTGCTATAGGGAAGATGGACAGAAGAAGATGGATTCAGATAATTTTTGGGCACACTCAAAGTTGGGAACTTTCTGGTGGATTGAATAGGGATGGGGTGAGAGAAAGAACAGAATCAAAGCTGTGTCCCATGACTTTGGCTTGAGAAAATGGATATATGGCAGTAATGTTTACTAAGATAGGAAAGATGTAAGTGGGTATAGGTTTATGGAGAAGAGATTAAAGGGTTCTTTTTGAACCATGTTCATTTTGAAATGCCTGTTATGAATCCAAGTGGCAGTTGCCAAGGAGGTATTTGGATATACGGGTCTGTAGTTAAAGTAGATGTCAGGGCGTAGAGGTATAAAATTGAAAGTCATTGGCATATAGATGGAATTTAAAGTCATGGGCAGATGAAATTACCTAGGGAGAAACCGTGGATGGAGAAGGGAGCCCAGGGCCACACTGAGGCTTACCCACATTTAGAATGTTGGTAGGGGAACAGGAGCCAACTAAGTGGGCAGCCGGTGAGGAAAGGAGCCAAGGGAATGTGTGTTACAAGAGCCAGGGAAAAGAGAGAGTGGTCACTTGTATTTAATGCTGCTAGAGGTGTAATAAAACGTAGACAAAGATTTACCCTTTGGATTTGGCTAGATGGTGGCCACTGGTTACCTTGACAGGGGCAGTCTTGGAGGAGTAGGGGAACAGAGGAATAGTTGCATATATTCAGCTTTTAGTCACTAAGGATACAATAAATTGTAGTCTAGGAGAACAGGTGGACAAATTGATCCCTATATGGTGTGATAAGGACTGCGCTAGAGGTCTGCACAGAGTTGATGGGTACACATGAGTTGGGGCACTTATTCTATGGGGCAACAGCACAGAAGGCTTTCAGAAGAGGGTGATAACTTCTTAGGTGTTCAAACTACATTTCTATAAATTAAAAGATCTATGGAGTAATGCATTATCCTTGGGGCCAGAAGACCGAGGGTCTAGTCCTACCTCCACCACTAACGGATACGTGATCTGAGACAAGTTCCTCCCCTCTCCAGGATTCTTTCTTCTTCCTTTTTTTTTGAGACAGAGTCTCACTCTTTTGCCCGGGCTACAGCAAGTGCTGTGGCATCAGCCTAGCTCACAGCAACCTCAAACTCCTGGGCTCAAGCGATCCTCCTGCCTCAGCCTCCCGAGTAGCTGGGACTACAGGCATGTGCCACCATGCCTGGCTAATTTTTTCTATATGTATATTTTTAGTTGTCCAGATAATTTCTTTCTATTTTTAGTAGAGATGGGGTCTCGCTCTTGCTCAGGCTGGTGGGGCGATCCAGAGTGCTAGGATTACAGGCGTGAGCCACTGCGCCCAGCCTCATATATCACTTCTGATCTAATTTCATTGTGAGAACTAATGACCTGACTTCACCTAAGATACAACGGGGACTGGGAAGTACAGCTCCTGGCTGGGCAGCAACAAGTACATATCGTGAAAAGGGAACAAGAGTCTTTGGTAGATACCAGATGTCTTCATTATAGAGAACATTTCAATGACCCATACAATTAATTAGTTTATTTATTTTCTAGCTGAAGAAGAGATTGCCATTTCCAAAACAGAGTTTCCTAAGAAATCTGAGTTATTTCTGGAAAATATCAGGTATGGACATACATAATCGTTTAGAAAGTAGAGCACAAACAATTGTCATTGAATTCAAAACACTGTTAGGATCATTTGCCTGGTCAGCAGTTTTGGCCTCTTAGGTACAAGTGGGAAAAATTTGGGGGGTGTGCATGGTGAGTTTGGACAGAAGTATCCATATTAGGTTTTAGTACCTTGCTCTTTTATTAGTTTTTAAAGATATTTTCATATCAAAAGCTATACTATATCTACAAGTTATTACTTCTATTTATTTCTGCATTTGGACAGTCCAGAACAAATAAGAGAAAAGATCTTGAATTTCTTTGACATTATGATAACAAAAATGAGGACATCTGAGGATGACATCATCCCTCTGGAATCTTGCCAGTGTGAGGAAATCCTAGAGATTGTCATTTTGCCTCTGGCCTACCATTTTCTGGCTTTGGGAGAAAACAACAAAGCCTTATATTACTTCTTAGAAATTGCATCTGCTTATCTCATCTTGGGTGATAACTATATGGTAAGCTGCTGCTACTCAGACCTCCTCCACCCCAGAGAGACCCATAGACCGCAGAGCAAGAAGGGAAGCTCCGGTGTGCCTTTTCAACCCTTCATGTTCTTAATTCCTGCCACCTCCCTTTTCACTTGAAAATCAATTACCCAGAAGGGAAATGACCTCAGATTGAGAAAACAGAGGTGGAACAAATTGTAATTGGCATTATACATTATTTAAAATATTGCCACCTTTAGAAACTTGCCATGAATAATCTGCCAGTATGGGAAGTAAGGGGTCACATCTCATTCCCAAATCAAGGCAGAGAGGACTTTTAGTATCAGTGCTTCAGTTGTAGTATAGTCTTCCTCAGTAAGGCCCCAGTGGCATTTGCCCTCTGTTGTCCTCTATAAGCATAAAATACCTATCTGTCTTTTGATGGGTGCAATTCTCATTTTAATCTTGTGACCTCAAAGAGGCTCACCCACTTCCATCTTCATGCAACTTGTGCTGGATTATCACACACACCTTTAGACCACCAAAGCACTAGTGAATGTTTCACCAGGATAGTTACAAGATTCCAGGGCAATATGCCCCTAGAAACAAGGGGATTTGATACACACAGTGAAATAAAAAGAATTTATTGCTAAGTAAGTTAGAAAGCACCGAGCTGAATACAGCTAAATAGAATTCTTTACTGTACCTATTTCAGGGCCTTTTATATGCTAAGATACATATATGTCTCCCAGAGGATAGAGGCAGGTAAGGGCCAGGCTAGGCTGAGGCATACTGTGTTTCTCAAACTTATTTGCCCTTAGATCACTTTTCATGGAACAGCTGGCTGAACTAACCTTCCATGAACTCACTTGAGGAAATGTTTTTCCGGGCTGAGCCTCATCTGACTCCAGCCAGCTTCAGGAAAAGTTAAACACACCTGAGTAGCCATGTCTATAGTCCTTCATGCCCACACTGGTGGTCTGGTTCATATTTTACAGCTGCTGTTGATTGCAGCAGCCTCATCAACCCTCATACCTTAGATTTGCATAAAATTTTTAAATTAAACTATTAAAAATGTCGGTAAGCCCAGGTTTTCTAAAGTATTTATGTTAAGAATGAGAATCTCCTACATATTTCATGCACATTTGGGGTGATAGTGGGGATGTGGCCAGTAAGTCCCAGAAAGGGGAGGCTTAGGTAGCCTTGGGGGTCAACTTTCTATAAGCTGTGCATACCCCATTTCATTCCACATGGAGTGCTGAATGATCAGGAAGGCAATGACTGGAAGCAGAGCCCTGGTGCAAGGCCCCAGGATGTGCCATTTGTGCCCCTTCTCCATCAAGGGAAATCAGGTGGGCCTGAGGCTGGCAGCCAACTCATCGTGCCTCCCTCTTTTTGCCCCCCACACATACCCCTTACATCCCATGAGACTGGGACGGATTGCCTCATCTTATGTTACCCTTCGAGTCTGATCTTGCCTTGGTGTTCACATATGCCAAGATTCACCTGTCTAATGACTTCAGGAGGTCGAAGATGAAGTGAGGAGAATTGCTTAGGGGCTTACCTTCATCTGCCACCTCCCAAAGATGGCCCTGGCAAAGGAAATGGGAGTGATTCACAACTCAACCCAAAAGTAGAGACCAGCTTCTCAGAGATGTGGGGATGTTGTCTCAAGGGCGGTGGGTATGTTGTTGGAAATTGGGAGGAATTACCCTGGGGAAAGGTAATTGCGCTGGGGGAAACTTCAGGCAAGGCAACTTACATGATAACATAAGGAAAGGTAGAGATTTCTAGATTCAGTCTCATGATTGAATGATCCGGCAGACAAAGGTCGGCATGAAGGTGGGAGCTTTACCCATCCAGCTCCTGTCTAGAATTGGGAAGCCCATTCTAATCACTGGAGGTGGTAACTGGAGTGGCTCCTGCTTCTCTACCTTCAGTAGGGTCTGGGATATTGGCCCCTCTGTGGTCTTAATCCCTGCCAACTCAATACTTTTCTACTCTTTGGGCTGGCTGCAGGCATACTGTTATTTGAATGAGGGAGAGAGGTTGCTGAAAATTCTCAAGAAAGAAAAATCTTGGAATCAGACATTTGAGTCTGCCACCTTTTATAGCCTCAAAGGTGAGGTAAGAAACCATTAAAGACATGAATTCATCTGTTATTTGTCCTAGGCCTTTCCATCAGAGTCATCCCTATACTTCCTACATCCTGTTCCCATCTCCTGCCACAGATTCCTATCCAAGACTCTAGAACCCTAACCCCCTGGACTCAAACCTACCACCACTTACCAGCAGCAAGATCTTCCCTGTCATGTAGGTTAACATCTTTATATTTTTGCAACAACCTCTAAAGTTGAACGTGAACGGGTAAACATTTCCTCAGAGGTAGATGCTGCGTGACTACGATGCTAAATCCTAGTCGTTCATTCAACCATCCTTCATGCGTGCATTTGCTATTATGCCAGGCACAGGAGGGTTTTGTTTCTGGGCCATAAAGTACTTTTTTTTGATAAGAGTCCCTAAAATACGTATTGTTGGAACCTACTAAGTCCAGAATCATTGCTTTTCCTCTTTTCTTCTCTTCCCCTCCCATCTTCCTCTAGGTCTGTTTCAATATGGGCCAGATGGTGCTTGCCAAGAAAATGCTGCGGAAGGCACTGAAGCTCCTCAACCGAATCTTTCCTCACAGCTTAATCTCCGTGTTTCTCCATACCCATGTTGAGAAAAACAGACACTCTCATTATTTGAGTCAGCAGGCCCAAGAGAACGCCCCTCCAGGGTAAGAGAAGGAGCTGGGGAGAGCTAAGTGTCTCATCTCATTGCCCAGAGGAGAGAGACAGACATGGAACCCAGCAGCCAGCCCCCAAGCCTGAGCCTCTTGGGGGCGCCAAGACTCCTGTTTGGCTCAGACCACTTACTAGTGGGGCAGGTGCTCCCGGGCCAGGGCTGGGTGCCCCCAAGCACTTTACAGGCAGCTTTTGCCAAAGGCAGTTCAGATGACACGAACATAAGAGACCCCTTTGCAAGGTGAGTTCCAGTGCCCCTCCCTACTCGTCTAGCCCATTAACCCCCCTTCCATCTATGTTCTGACTGGAGCCTCATCCACCTGCTCCTGGAGCCTCAGTCACAAGCCCCCTTCCATTCAGTGCTGAGACACTGGGTTTTGTCCCTGCCTCACAGAAGAATAGCAAGCCCCCGGAAGACATCTGCCAAAGGACAAAACTGCCCACCCATCTATGTGTCTTGATAAGGACGTGGATTACATGGGGGTATTATCCATTGGTCAAAATTGTACTGTTAAGATTTGTACAGTTCAGTGTGTATACATTGTACATATAAAAGAACTATAAAGAATAATAACGAGGAGAAAGAAATAGTAAGTGGCAGATGAAATACGAATGTCGACAGTTGTTGAAGCTAGTGCTGTAGAGCACTGGGCTTGCTGCCTGGCACACATAGAAGCTGATGTTGAACTACGGTGCTGGCCTTTGAGGAAAGGAAGGCTTTATTGCAAGGCCAACCAGCAAGGAAACAAGAGGTGCAACTCAAATCTGTCTCCTTGATTTGGGGGTCTGGAGCGAGTTTTAAGGGGTTGGAGGGCAAGGGAAAGTATTAAAAACGTTGGCTTGGCAGGGTCGGACTGGAGGCTTCAAATTTGACTATTGATGCCAAAGTGTGTCGAGGCGGATTTTAGCCCTGATTTTCCCGGCCAGCAGACCCTCGCTTCTGCAAGTTTCCTGCGTTCAGGTTCCGGTCATGTCCTGGTCTTCTTGGTTCCGCGGGGAGGAAATGTTGGTTCCGGGTGTTGTTAGAGGTCAAAGCTTTTTCAGTCGTGCATGCCTGGGATACATGACTTGCAGTTTTGGCTCTGTTATACCTACAAGGTAACTTAATATTCTGTAATCAACAGAGTAGGGCCAGTTTGGGCTGTTCCTGCGGTTGCAATTACACTAGGTGTTGTGTTCCTGTAGCTCATTATACTCTTTGGCTTGCTGCAGGCATGTTTGAATTTTTCCATAATGAAAGCTTTAAAAAAATCCCATCTATCTAGCAATTCATACCAAGGGAGATGCCACCTCGTTGGGGATCTGGAGAGCTCACAGAGGACATCTCTTCCATCTTGGGAGAGATCAGTAGCAATATTCCTATAGGTTCGGCCTAAGATACAAACATCTGTTCTTATGACCAAGTGACTACAACTCTTTTGCAACCCCTCCCAAAACTCCCTTCCTTAGCTTCTGAAAGTGTTTCCTTCAACATGGGGGATTCCGAGGCAGAAAGGAAACGAGCTGAAGCTGAGCTCCTTTTCATGCTGCAGGTGGGCTCCTGGGACTACCTGGCTGCTCCTGGAGGCACAGGAGGAAGGGGCGGGCAGAAGTTCAGCAGAGATCTCTCCGAGAGTAAGAAGGAAGTAGTCTTAGGGGCACGTAGAAGGTTGCCATATGAAATGCAGGATGCCTAGTTAAATCTGAATTTCAGATAAATGATGAATAATTTTTTTAGTATACCTATGCCACAAACTAGGACATGCATTCTAAGAAATGATTGGTTTTTAAACTCAAATTTAACTGAGAATCCTGTATTGTCATTTGCTGAATCAGATAACCCTAGTTTGCAACCACATTTTGTGAAAGGAATAAGAAGTATCTGCACAAGGAGAAAAGGTAGAAAAGTGTTGAAGAGGAAAAAACTGCAGAGCTGTTGGCTTAAAATACCTGCAGGTCAAAAGTTCTCATTTCGAAAATCAGGACAGTAAGAAACAACATCTAATGTCTGGGTGTCTGCGGCCCTCGTGCATGCTCTGTATTAGAAGTGGCTGCACTCTGCTCATGTTTCCTTAGGACTTTTTAACAAAGGTTCATTTGCACAACAGACTCAACGTGGTCAACGTCTCAACTAAAATAGCCGCAATTCGTTAGCACCTCTAAAACCTCTTTCCTCCTTCCTTCTCATCTTTCTTTTAAACCTGCCTCGTGAGAAGTATTTCTAATTACATTTTGTTTTCTTGGTTTCGTGAAATTGCTAATACTGCAGCCATCTTATGGAGGCTCCTGTGTTTTAATCACACGCATAGCGGTGTTTTGCCTACGTTATCGGTTACGTGGCCTGCTGAGACTGGTACTGAAAACCCAAACGGTCTTCGGGGAAGGTCATCCACCCTGCCCTTGAATACTTCCAGCGCTGGATGTTCACCACCTCCCACCACATTCCGTTCCACTGTTGGAATGTAATTGTTTCAAATGCTCGTTTCCCTCGTTGAGCTGAGACCTAGTCCCTAGAAGCAGTGTGCCATGGAGGAAATACCACGCTGGACTGGGCAGGCTGGAGGTGGGCGGGGCTTGAGTCGCGGCACCGCCACGTCCTGGCTGTGTGACTTTGTGTTAATTGCTTAACCTGAGTCTCACCGTCCCCATACGCAAAATGGGGTACATTATTCCCTCCTTTCTTATAGGGTTGTCATCAGAATCAAGTGTGACGAACGATATCAACGTGCTTTTTAAATAGCGTCATTAAACTGGCAATTACCTGACGTGGGACAGGTGATAAATATCTTAATCATCATAAAGTAGGTGTTATGGTCTCCATTCTACGATGGAGAAAACAAGCTTCCTAAAAATTAATGTGCTTGTTACTAACGGAGTCAGGCCTCAAAGTCAAGTCAATACTGAGTCCCAAGCCACACAGTGAGGACACTAGGTACCTGTGCTCCCCTAAAGCCTGGTGGTGATTATGCCTTCCTTCCATGTTCCGTTTGTGTTTACCTTGTCTAATAGGAAGAAGAGGCTAGCACAACTTTACCGGCAAACCACCTGCTTCTCCTTGCTGTGGCAGATCTATAGCTTAAATTATTTTTTTCATTACAAGTACTATGGCCGCCTGGCAGCTATGATGCAAGTGAATACCGCACTGGAAACTCAAAACGATTTCCAGGTAGGGTATTTTGGTAACTGCTCTTTAAATTTCTGAATCTCATTTGGAGAGAAAAGCCTAGTGAAAGCCAATTGGGATTCAACATCATGAGGAAATAATAAAAGCCTTTCTGACCGGAACATGTTCCCGAAGCCAGCAAAACCCCGGGATCTCTTCACGCTCTTAAAAATCATGGAGGATCCTAAGTAGCTTCTATTTATATGAGTTGTATCTATTATCATAAAAGAAACAAAAGTAGAAACTTAAAAATACTTATTTTAAAATAAATCCATTACATATTAACATAATTAACATTTTCTTTTTTTAAAAAAGACCTTTATTTCTCAAAAAATGTAATGGGAAGTGTGGCAGTATATTAAATTTTTTTGCAAATATCTATGTCTGGCTTTATAGAGGACAACTAGATTCTCATATCTGTTCTATCCTTCAATCTGTCGCCATATGACGTATGTTGCCTCAGGAAAACTCCACTATATACTCATAAAAGAATGAAGTTGAAAAGGAAAAATGTTAAGGACAATGCTTTTAAAAGTGATAGAATCATAACTCACATAAATATGAGAAGTACATGTTCAAATATTTTATTTAACTCTCAATGAGAGAATTAGTAAGATGTTACAACTAGTTCCAAGGAGAAGTCAATTTACTGCATGGACACAAAACTAGTCTAGTCATAGGGCGATGATCATTTGTATTCCACTGAATGTTAACATTCATATGGAAATGAATTACATCATTTATATTATTACCAATTTTCTACAATATGCTGAGTTGTAAAATAGTCCAGAGACAATGAAAGGTAGAGATAACCTTGACTGGTGAGCTAGGCAGGACAACCACCAAGTCTTTGTTTCTGCCCATTTCAAGGTCTTTCAATATTCTTAAACAATACCATGATATTATTAAAATAGCTTTGATCTTGTGTGCTCTCTGAAAGGGTCTCAGAGACCCCTAGGGTTTCTGGGGCCAACTGGGAAAACCACTAGTCTAGGTCATAAACTGGGAAGCTTCTGATTGGATGAGGAAGACACCAGGAGACAAGATCAAGAAATGAGTAAGTTAAATCCAACTCATCTAATGAGAGTGACCTGGCTCCTTTGTAAAAGTACATCAAGTGTGGGTCCCTTCTGGGGCAATACCTTCCTCCTGGAGTCATTCATTATCAAGTAGCACTGTAAATGTTGGAGGAGCTTAAAGTAGCCACCCATTCACTGTCTAACCTATCGCCCTATTTTAATAGGTCTGTTTTATTACCATTTGACATTTTCTTGTTTGTTGCTTCATCGGTTGGTGGTCTGTCTCCCTCGCTATCCCGCAGACTCTGCGAGAGCAGGGACCTTATCTGCTCTCTTGTCTTGTTCACATCCTGAGCACCCAGAACAGTGCCTGGCACACTGCAGGTGCTCCACAAATATTTATGGAATAAAATACTTTACTTTTCCTCCACATTTGTAGCTATACCCTAAAAGCTGTGGTGGAGTTGGGATGCAGGGGGGAGGATAAAAATGGAAAAGCCAAGTTGGAAAGTGAATCAAGACACTTATTACCAAGATGGCAGGGGCTAAGAGCAGAACAGCAGGGGAAGCTTTCACCCCGGTATTCGAAAGCAGATGAGGCCCTCAGCATAGGAGAATAGAAAGACCGAGACGGAGAGCCCAGAGAGTGGTTTCCAGGACTCCACCTATCTGCGGTGGGACCACTGGTAAGCCACGTAACCTCCAGACTTTACATTTTCCCCGTAAAGTGAAGCAGTTGAACTCCATTGTCTTGGTCCAAATCCAAGAAGTCCCTAGGCTTTATTCCTCATTTGCCCAACAATTCTCTCTCCTCCAGCACCATTTCTGGCTATCCTTCCCATCTGGTAGCATTATCTGAAGCATATTCTAAACTAGGAATAAAGGAATTCCCTGAGATAGACTTTGTGGTTTAACAAGTACTCAGGGACCTGCTTTCAACACAGATTTTGTAGACTGGTTATTTTGTGTGATTTGGGGCATTCCAGGAAAAAAGTCCCTACTCTAAAATTCTTCCCGTACCCAACTGCCCGCAAAGCCCAATACTTCTATCATGAGAGATTCTAAATTTCTCCTGTTTGAATTTTTCAAAGCAGTTTTCATGTGTTCTGTTGTCATTTTTATACACAGAACCAAACCGCTCCCTTAGAAGGAGCCATTTTCTTCTTACCCTTCTCTAAGCATTTATATACCGAGGCAACTTTATCATTTTAAAGAGTTATTCAAAGAGTAACCAACTTCTCTAGATCTCCAAATTAAGTTTAGAAGTAGTCCTTAGATTTTTTTTTTGAAAGCAAACAAACCAAACCAACCTACCTTTTTTGTTAAATTATACAAGAAACACACGTTTCGTATAACAAATTGAACACCACAGAAGGGCATAAGGTAAAAAAAAAAAAGTCCCTCTTCTCCCCCAAATCTACTCCCTCAACAAATAGGTAACGATTATTTACACTTTGGAGTGCATCCTTTCAGCCTTTTTGCTATGCAATCATATATCCATATATACAAGCTATTGCTTCTCTTTTTCAGAGAAATTAAAAGTTTTATATTTCATTCAAGTACTCCATGAGCAAGAGGCCACAGGGATTGTCCTGGATGACTCGGTGAATAGGCGGCAGAAACCCAGTTTGATTTCTGTATCTAAGTTCCATTCCCAAGCTTACTAAACAAATGTTAATATTTACTGGCAGACATTGAGTAATGTCCCTGGGCTTTCCGCTTTGGGTTCCACCTCAGTCTTGCCCCTTCTCTCCTCTACTCTGCCACTTCAGATCATTAAGGCTTACCTGGACTATTCGCTGTACCACCACCTGGATGGCTGCCAGGACGTGTGGTTCAAATACGAAGTCCTGGCCATGGAGCAGATCTTCGACATCCCCCTGAAAGGCGAGGGCATTGAAATCGTGGCATATGTGGCCGATACACTGAGCTACATCAAGCTCTTAATGGGACACCTGGACTTGGCCATTGAGTTAGGTAAGGGCTGGCTGGGCAAGGAGGGATATGAAGATACAAGTAAAGCCCCCAAATACACTGGAATTGTTTTCTTCCCAGGCTTTCGAGCCTGTAAGATACGGGCACAGCTCTGGAATCCCAACAAGTACTATACGGTCCTCTGCAGACTTAGCAAATCTCTCTTCTTGAAATGCAGGTATTTATCTTAAAGCTCTTTCCAATGTTAGTAGGAAGAAGCCATATTATCACTTTATTCTGGCTGTAGGGTAGGGAAGGGAGTACTGTTTGCAGGAAGATGATATTACTGATAATAATCATCCTTCGCCTTTGGATACCGAGGCTTTTTTAACAGAATTCTTCCAGGTGCATCCTCTCTGGTCTGGTTGCTCTGGCCAATGACCAGAGGGGAGTCAGACAGTTATCTCCACGGTGGGGGTCGCCTGCCACCCCTGCCAGTGGAAAGAAAGGGCAAGGGTTAACAGGGAGGCCAATGCCCAGAGAATAGCAACCAGGACTCGAGGTCCAGGCCGATTTGGCCTGACTCTGGTCACCCTAATATAGAGACTCCATGAAAGAACAATTTGAAAAAAAAACAGCCAATGTGAGATGTTCTGGTCCTGAGTAGGGGTGGCTTTAAAGTCTGTTTAAGAGTTGTATTTGGTTCTGAATTGCTGCGCGGCATCAAAACTAGACCAGGACTGACCTTCATCCTCTCCTCTCCATTGCTGTTTAATGCCACCACCTTTTCTCTTTCCCAGATACAAGCAGTTGATCCAGGTGCTGGGGTGGCTGTGGGATCTTTCCGTAGAAGAAGAACACATCATCAGCAGGGCGTTTTTCTATTTTGTCTGCTTGGACATCATGCTTTATTCTGGTAAGAGTGGCTTTGGAATGTAAAAGAACTTGGAGACGTGGCACTTATGCTGGTGTGTTGTGGCAGGGCTGGGGCTTTGGGACCACTAGGTTTCTGGCTGGGCGGACTCATAGGACAGGGATGGAGAGAGCCTAGTGGTGTGAGCCGAGTTGTCTAGCAGGCGCGAAGATTAAAAGGGAACAGCAAGAAGGGGAATGAAGTCTGGAGGAACCTGTTGGGTATAAGCCGCCAGTTAAACTGTCAGATAACTTTACACATAAGTGATAGTTACTGACATTGTCTTACCATGTGCCTTTTACTAGGGGTATTTAATTTTTAGCAGGATGTACTTAGAGGCTTCATGCTTTAGAATGAAGGACTGGATTCCTAATGGTGAGAGTTCCAGGCTGGTAGCTGTTGGTGATTTGGAAAACAAGTTCTTTCCCAATAACCTTCCAGTGACACCAAGTAGGTCACTTGAAGTGTACACATTAAGCGAGAGGGACCAACCTGGGGATTGTTCTCCTCATGTATGATTTTGAAGGGGATGCAAATATTGCTGCCAACAGGGGAAGCATGGGTGGGAAGACAGAAGCCCTGGGCTGCACCAAGGCCAACTCCTTGCACTTTGGCCAGGAAGGGGTGGTTTAAACCCACCTGCCTGGTCTAGACTGTGGAATTGTATTATGTATGCACAACATGGCGCAGTAGCTGGGACTCACAAACACAGGGCAGTTCAGTTACATGCTTGTTGCAATGTACCGGACCCTTTGGATTCATGGAGTAATCAGAGACTGCTCTGCCTGCAGTGGGAAATTCTACTGGGAATGGACAGCCTGAAAGATGATCACCCACCCATGAGCAAATTTCACCCATTTCTCTCTTTTAGGCTTTGTTTATAGACCATTTGAAGAATGTTTGGATTTCATAGCCCAAAATGAAGACAATGAAATCCTCAAGTTCCAAAGTGGACTCCTCCTGGGACTTTATTCGTCTGTAGCTATCTGGTAACAATGTATTGCATATCACTAAATTCCCAAGGTAAAAATGTTAAATCCTGAAGAAGAGTTCTTTAAAAATTTTTTTTAAAGAAAGAAAAGTATTCATAATTTATATGTGAGACAGCTTAAAGGCATCAGAGAATACTGGCTTGAAAGACACCTTAGGGATCAACTAGTTCATCCCCCTCAACCAGGGACAGAAAAGTGATGTCTCAAGAATATTCGATGCAATGAACATTTATTACAAATATATTACGTTTTGATGATACTGGGATAAATAAAGGTGACTTGCTTCTGAAAAATGCTGGGGTTTAAGGAAGGCTAATAAACAGCATTACTCACCTACTTACACTCACGCAGATCTATCAGATGGAAAAACACTATTGATAAACCTGATGTTGGAGGATACGGCTTATACCTGCACACAAGTGGGCTTCCCAATATTGAGCCCCAAAATTAGACTTACCCACTCAGCAACAGGAAGTTCTGGAAAACTGCAGGTCTACCCACATCAAGGCAGGCCTCTTCCTACAGTGTGGCAGAGAGCAGATCAGTACCATGCTCCCGGTTGGCTTCACTGGCTTTTTTTTTTTTTTTGAGACAGAGTGTGGCTCTGTTGCCCCAGGTAGAGTGCCGTGGCATCATCCTAGCTCACTGCAACTTCAAACTCCTGGGCTCAAGCCATCCTCCTGCCTCAACCTCCTGAGTAGCTGGGACTACAGACGCACGCCACCATGCCTGGCTCCTTTTTCTCTTTTTAGTGGAGATGGGGTCTCACTCTTGCTCAGGCTGGTCTTGAACTCCTGAGCTCAAGCAATCCTCCTGCCTCAGCCTCCCAGAGAGCTAGGATTACAGGCGTGAGCCACCTCGCCCAGCCTTCACTGGCTCTTAAGATGAAGGAGAGACAGGCTGTGAGCTACACTTGCCCAATTCCTCTCTCCAAATTACCAGACCACTCCTTTTCTATTTTTTTTTTTTTTTTTCGTTTAGCCTCCACAGAACATTGAAGAATAGGCCACTCCTTTTCACTGGAGGAACGAATGAAGCCAGTGAAGTGGGGAAAGAAAGCTGATGCTTTGCATGAATGGAGGCCCCTCACATGGAAGAAGACTTCAGGAGAGAGGAAGAAGCACTATCCCTGTACTCTTTTAACGCATTAAGCCTGAGGCTTAATCCCTTTAACTTAATAAGTTTTTAACTCAGTAAGCTTGCAGCTATGGCCATACCTTCAAGGAAGGAGATGAACAGTAAGGCACCAAACTGGGTCAGAACAGAACATTAATGAAATCACTTCCATGGCTGTCCCCAAGAAGTCTTCTATTTCCCATATGAAATTATATGCAGCCATGTGGTCTGGTATGGTCCACTAGAGGTTGTGTGATTAGATTAAATGACAATGTGGAGACATTCCTATACAAAATGCCACAAATGAGAGCAGCTCCAAATCTGAATAGAACCTCCCTTTTATTATAAAATTACTTGGGAGATATTAAAATCCAGAAGTTAATTACCCTTGCCAGTTAAAGTTCATAGTCAAATTAACTTGCCCATGTGAGTTAAAGATCAAGGAATGTAACGTCCAAAAATCAGCCTAATTTCTTATTCTTTTCTGTCTCAGCTGGCGAGTTCTTACAACAGCTGTGTCCTAGGCAAATGCTTCTCACACATCAGTGGGCATGAGGATCACCTGGAGAGCGTGTTACCTCAGAGATTCCCCGCCTGCAGGGTCTGTGCGATTCAGTAGATCTGGGTTGGACCAGAGAATTTGCACTTGTAAGGAGGACCCAGCTGTTACTGATGATGCCAGTCTGTGGCGCACACTTGGAGTAGCACTGGCCTACACTATCTCTTAGGAATTAGAGCAACATCTTCAAACCCTAGAATTTATAGTGCCAAGTATCTGATCTGCCTCACTTTTTAACTTAAAAAATCCAAAGAGTGAAATAGAAGGTGGCTGCTATTACCTGGGTGTTCCCAAGAACTCTGTTCATCTTAAGTCATCAAAAAATTCTACTCTTTCCTTGCTCCATATCACAGAATTTCCTGCTTTTTTAGGGAGAGTGGAGTGGGGCCGGGCAGGAGGCAAACTTCCAGAGACCCCAGCTTGGGAAGCAACACATCTAGAGAGAGCCATTTCAGCAAATCAGCCCATTCCAAGAGTGATACTGATTTTTCTTATTCTTCTGTGGTGGTACAGGTATGGTAGACTTCAGGATTGGGACAACTTTCACGTATTTTTCAATAGAGCTAAACATCTAGTGCCAAGAAGAACTCCAACAGTTCTTTATTGCCAAGGAATTTCCAGGTACATGGAGGGGCAAGTTCTCCACCTTCAAAAACAAATTGAAGAACAGACTCAGAATGCCCAGGAGAACGGTGTTGAGATGCTCAAGGTGAGGCTTGTTCTGCAGTTTCCAGTATAAATCACTCCTTGAATGCGTTTCTGTCTACCTCCTGTGCGAATTGTTTTCTGATTACGGAATTTATGCGTGTTTATAATAGTTTTTGAAGGCACCCCCTCAAAATTATAAAGAAAAACATATAAACTTCCCATAAGCTTGATAATCAGAGATAACAACTTTTTATACATTGAGATACCACTTTTCAGTTTTTTTCTATGTGTGTGCATGCTCATTTCCATTTTGTAATTTGCTATTAAATATATTATAATTTCCATGTCGTTATATTGCTTTTCACACTACTAATTAAAAGGAAGCATTGTATTTTATCTTATGAATATATTATTAGATTATAATATAGCCCAATTATTCTTGAATAGAACTTTTCTGTAGTATTTTACTGCTATTGCTGTGATAAGGATCCTAGTAGATAAATCTCTGCACACAACAATTTTTAAAATTCAACTCATACATATTAAGCACCAGATAATAGGTGCCTGGGCTGTAGGAGTGAGCAGATTACACGTGGCGCCTGCTTCTGAAAGTGTACAGCCTGATAGGGGCAGGCCCCTGAGACAATGAAGGGCCAGCCCTCTGGTTTTGGCTTGACACTTGTCTACCTTGTTCTTGTAGCAAAACTGAGCACAGGCGTATTAGTTCTCTATTGCTGCGTCACAAATTACCACAAACCAAACAGCTTACAACACCCCCACTTCTTACCTCACAGTTTGGCAGGTCAGAAGTCTGGGTGGGCTTGACTGGAATCTCTGCTCAAAGATGTAGTTGATGTATGCATAAGCATACATAATTGAACATATCGTTGCTATTATTATTTTAAACAAACTTATATGTTAGATAAATTAAGAATAATAAAAAGAAACTTTTTATTTTACCTTCACTTATTCCCTCTTTGATGCTCTTGCTTTCTTTATGTAGATTCAAGTTTCTGACATTTTCCTTCTCTCTAAAGAATTTCTTTTAATATTTTTTTTTTTTTTGAGACAGAGTCTCACTTTGTTGCCCTGGCTAGAGTGAGTGCCGTGGCGTTAGCCTAGCTCACAGCAACCTCAAACTCCTGGGCTCAAGTGATCCTACTGCCTCAGCCTCCCGAGTAGCTTGGGACTACAGACGTGTGCCACCATGCCCGGCTAATTTTTTCTGTATATTTTTAGTTGTTCAGATAATTTCTTTCTATTTTTTTTAAGTAGAGACGGGGTCTCGCTCTTGCCCAGGCTGGTTTCGAACTCCTGAGCTCAAACAATCTGCCCACCTCGGCCTCCCAGAGTGCTAGGATTACAGGCGTGAGCCACCACGCCCCGCCTCTTTTAATATTTCTTTTTTTTTTTTGAGACAGAGTCTCACTTTGTTGCCCTGGCTAGAGTGAGTGCCGTGGCGTTAGCCTAGCTCACAGCAACCTCAAACTCCTGGGCTGAAGTGATCCTACTGCCTCAGCCTCCCGAGTAGCTTGGGACTACAGACGTGTGCCACCATGCCCGGCTAATTTTTTCTGTATATTTTTAGTTGTTCAGATAATTTCTTTCTATTTTTTTTAAGTAGAGACGGGGTCTCGCTCTTGCCCAGGCTGGTTTCGAACTCCTGAGCTCAAACAATCTGCCCACCTCGGCCTCCCAGAGTGCTAGGATTACAGGCGTGAGCCACCACGCCCCGCCTCTTTTAATATTTCTTACAAGGCAGGTCTACTGGCAACGATTTCCCTCAATTTTAGTTTGTCTGAGAAAGTATTTTGTTGTCAATTTTGAAGGATATTTTCACAGGGTACAGAATTTTAGGTTAGTGGATTTTGTTTTTTCTCTCAACACTCTAAATACATCCTTGCTTGCATGGTTTCTGAGGAAAAGTCAAATGAAATTTTTCCACTATAGGTAAGATGCCCTCTCCCTGCCCCTGGCTTCTTTCAGGATTTTTTCTTTATCTTTGATTTTCTGAAGTTTGAATATGATATCTCTTGGTGTCATTTTGGGGAGGTTGTTTGTTTTTTTTTTTTTGGCATTTATCCTGCATAGTGTTCTCTGAGCTTCCTGGATCTGCAGTTTATGTCTGACCTTAATTTGGGGAAATTCTCAGTCTTTATTTTTTCTAATATTTCTTCTTTTCCCTTTCTTCTACTTCTGGTATTTCCATTATACATGTGTTATACCTTTTGTACTTGTCTCATGGTACAAGTACTTGTACAATCCTTGAATATTCTGTTATTTTTTTTTCAGTCTTTGTTTGCTTTTCAGTTTTGTAGGTTTGTATTGATACAGCCTTAAGCTCAGAAATTCTTTCCTCAGCTCTGTCCAGGTTATTAAGCCCATCAAAGACATTCTTCATTTCTCTTAAAGTGTTTTTGATTTCTAGCACCTCTTTTTGGTTCTTTCTTAGGATTTCCACCTCTCTGCTTATATTGCCCTTGCATGCTCTCTACTTTATTCATTAAAACTCTTAGCATATTAATTGTAGTTGTTTTAAATTTCCAGTCTGATAATTCAAAACATCCTTGCCATGTTTGATCCTTGCTCTATTTCTTCAAACTGTGTTTTTGCCTTTTAGTATGCCTTGTAATTTTTCTTGGTAGACATGATGTGCCAGGTAAAAGGACTTGATATAAATAGATTTTTGGTAATGTGATGGTAATGTGTGGGGGGAGAGAAAGCATTCTAGAGTCCTGTGATTAGATCTCAGTCTTTTAGTGAGCCTACTCCTCTGGATTAAGAACTTGACAAATGCTTTGCAGTCCCTTCCCCCTTAGGTGGGACAGGAGAGCTAGAGCTGGCTTCAGCTGGGTATTCCCCACCCATCCCACAATCACCCCCGCCAGGTCAGTTAGGCTCTGGTTAAATAGTTTCTCCTGAAGGCAAACTTTGTTAAGAAAAGAGTGCTCTGGCTCTTTAAAAATGGTTTCCTTTTCTCTCCCTTTGCTGGAAGTATGAGTGAATTTTTCTCAAATATTTACCTGAGATTCTGGTTGAACTCCTGGAGGTAAAACTCACAGAAGTGTGGTGGCCTATCTGGAAGTGTTTGTGGTGTTTTTATTGGTCCAATTTTAAAAATCATGGTCAAATAAACATAATATAAAATTTACCATCTTAACCATTCTTAAATGTATAGTTTAGTGGTATTAAATACATCCATAATCCTTTGACTCCATAACTCTTCATCTTGTAAAACTGGAACTCTGTACCCATTATGTGTATGTTTGTTAGATCCAGCTGGTTTATTGTGTTAAGTCCTCTATTTCTTATCTTCTGCCTGGTTGTTCTATCCATTATTGGGAGAAGGTTATTGAAGTCTCCAACTATTATTGTAGAACTGTCTGATTCTACCTTCAATCAGTTAGTTTTGCTTCATATATTTTGGTGGTCTTCTAATTAAGTGCAAAAATGTTTGTAATGTTTACAATTGTTATGTCTTTTTGCCATATTGAAACTTTTACTAATATATAATGTCCTTTTTGCCTCTTGTAAGCTTTTTTTTGATTTAAAGTCCATTTTGTCTGATATTAGTCTGGCTACCCCTGCTCTCTTTTGATTACTACTTGCATGGAATATTTCTTTCCATCCTTTCATTTTCAATCTGTTTGTGTCTTTGGATTGAAAGCAAATATTTTGTAGTATATAATTGGATTATGTTTTGGGGAATCCATTCTGCCAATCTGTTTTTTTATTGGGGAGTTTAATCCATTTACATTTAAAACAATTACTGATAAAGAGGGATTTTTGTCATTTTGCTGTTTGTTTTCTATATGCCTTGTAGTTTTTTTGTCACTCATTTCTTGCAGTACTGTCTTCTTTTGTGTTAGTTGATTTTTTCGTAATGAAACATTTAAAATTTTCCCCCATTTTCTTTTGTATATATTCTATAGCTATTTTCTTTATGGTTACCATGAAGATTATATTTAATATCCTAAAGCTAACTTTAGTAAGATACAAAAACTTTGCTCCTTTAATAACTTCCCACCCATTTTGGTTGTTGATATTACAAAATTACATTTTTATACATTGCGTACCCAAAAACATAAACTAATAATTCTTTTAAATGATTAGTCTCTTAAATTATGTAGCAAACAAAATGTGGAGTTACAAACCAAAGTTACAATATTAGCAATACTCCTCTTTTCTTGCTGCTACAATGGGTCTGGTTGTCATCTGTGGCATACATATCATGCTCTATAAACCTATATCTTGCTCTTGCCCTATAAGCCTATCTTTCTCTTCTCAATAAACCTCATTTTTGTGCTTGCCTTTAAACAAAAATTACTAGCAATTCTAGCTTTTAGGCTAATAATTTTTTAATGCATTAATCTCTTAAATGATGTAGAAAACAAAAAATGCACTTACAAATTGTTGCACTAATACTAGCTTTTATAATTGTCCATATATTTACCTTTATTAAGATCTTTATTTCTCCACATAACTTCAAGAGTTCTTTCATTTTATCCTACAGAACTCCCTTGAGCATTTCTTTCTTTCTCTCTTTCTTTTTTTCTTTGAGCATTTCTTTCAGGGAAGTTTTAGTGGTAACAAACAGTTTCTGCTTTTGTTTATCTGAGAATGTCTTAATTTCTCCCTCACTTTTGGAGGACATTTTGCCAGATATAGGATTCTTGGTTGATAGTTTTTTGTTTTGTTTTTTTTTTTTTACTTTTAGCACTTGAAATATGTTGGCCTGCTGCTTTCTGGCCTACAAATTTTCTGATGAGAAAGCTGCCGATAATCTTATTGAGGATCCTTGTATGTGATGAGTTGCTTATCATTTGTCTCAGTGTGGGTCTCTTTGAGTTCATTTTACTTAGAGTTTGTTGAGCTTCTTGGATATTTATAGTTGTGTCTTTTTTCAAATTTGGGAACTTTTCAGCCATTATTTCTTCGAATGTGCTCTTTTCTCTCTCTTTTCTCCCGGAGTCACTTTCTAATTTTCCCCATATAGGCAGTTGCTTTGGAGTGTCCTAGTATTTGATGCGTGGCTCTCAAAGGGGAAAAAGAGAAAAGTGAAGGTGGGTGAGGGGCACTGGCCTTTTAAATCCCCAGAAGTCACTTCAGCCAGAGGGTGAGGGGCTTGTGACAAGGGGGGTGAGAGGGCGTAACAACAATGGCTGCCTGCCTTGTTGTCTGTACCTCTTTGATCAGAAGCAGCAATCAGTGATCAAAGCACAGATCCCTGATGGTTAGGGCAGGGTCCTTTTTGCCCACCCTGGTTCCCACGAGTTGTGTGCGAGTTGCTTCAGGAACATGTGCACAGCTCTTTGCTATCGGGCTGGGGTCGGGGGAAAAAAGTAGTGCTACTGTGCTGACGGCTGAAATTGACTGCAATTAACTTTCATTTACCATCCAAACCTTCCTCTGGCAGTTACAAGCTTTTAATAGACTCCAAAGTTCTAAAATAGTTATATTCTGACAGATTCTGCCAGTCTAATTATTGTCTAGGTGGGGACACAGATACCTGCTACTTCCTCCTCTGCCATCTTTCCAGAATCCTCTTCCCCCGGGAGTTTTTAACTCACAGACTTGTCCACTTTGAGCCTTCAGTAATTCGTCAATTACAGTTCAGGCTTCCCCGCCCTGGCACTGGTCCCCACAGTGGTTTCCACTCCTAAGTCTCTGCTCTGATAAGCTGTGGCTCCCTGCACACATGTGTATCTCCCCAGTCTTGAGGGCAGCCGTTCACCCTGTGTTCTCACCTCTCTGAGAGATGGATATAAGAAGAGTTGTTGATTTTTCAGTCTGTTAAGATTTTTACTTGTTCCTAGGGCCAAATGGGACTTTCCAAGCTCCTTACATGCAGAACTGTCCAATTTTCCCCGTTTAATAATCAGAAGAAAGTATGTTTTTTTTTAAAAAAAAAAAAAAAAGTTGTTGCAGAGAAGTATTGATGGGCCCTCTCATGTCACCTTCTGATTTGGGTGGACCATGGGGACCACTCCACCTGACATTGACTATCTTAGCTCTAATACTTACTATGTGTGTTTCTGTAATGTACTTTCTCACTTGATTGCTTATATCCTTGAAATAGTCCCAGATCATCTGTGGAGGAAATACCTCTGCAGGCAAGGACCCCTGTCTAATTCTGATATACTGTTTTTTTTTCTCTTTAGAACTTGGAGAATCTGGCAGCTCAAAATACCACTGGCCCTGTTTTCTACCCGAGGCTCTACCACCTGATGGCCTATGTCTGTTTACTAATGGGAGATGGGCATGACTGTGACTTCTTCCTGAACACAGCCTTGCAGCTCTCCGAAACACAGGGGAATGTGCTGGAGCAATGCTGGCTGAACATGAGCAAAGTATGTATCACCAGATAGCAAGCTGGGGTGGGGGTGCTCACCCTTGTAAGGAAGCCCCAGAATCCCACTGCCTGGGCAGGTTTCACCAGGCATAGAAGGTCATTTTGCTTGTTGAAATTTTGTTGGGCTGCCATAACAAAATATCTTAGGCTGGGTAATCTATAAACAATAGAAATTTACTGCTCAGTTTTAGAGGCTGGGAAGTCCATGATCAAGGCATTGGAGATTTGATATCTGGCGAGGGCCCATTTCTCATAGATGGTGCCTCTTGCTGTGCCCTCACATTCTAGAAGGGTGAAAGGGGAAGACTCACTTCTTCAGGCCCTTTTATATGGGCACGGATCCCATCCAGGAGGGCAGAGCCCTCGCGACGTAATTACCACCCGAAGGCCCGCTTCTTAATACATTGCCTTAGGGGTTAAGTTCCAGCATATGAATTTTGGGGGATGCCAAATTCAGACCACAGCAGTCATTATAGGCCTTTCTGGATTCTTACCAAAAGGGTGACATGTCCATAGCTCAGGTATATGAGCCTCCTCTTCCCCTTTAAGTTCTCATGGACTTTCTTCCCTCATCCAAATCTTCTTTAGCAGGTCTCTCTCTGCCCCTCTCTGTGGCCACTTTCTACTTTGTGTTACATTTGTTTGGATGTCTTTCCTCCCCTCAAGAATGTGAACTCTTTGAAAGCAAAACCACGCATAGTCCCAGCACAGTGCCTCTTACTCAGTTTTTGTTGAATAAGTGAATGAATGTACAATTTTCTGTGTTTATTGGAAGAGGCATATGTCGGTGTCCTCCTCTGGGCAGCAAAATTCATTTTTGCCTGTGGGTTCACGTGGTTTTAAAAGCTCAAGGACAATTTACCATGTCTGGTATGGGACCACTTTCGATGGCACAAGTTAAGGAGCGCCATTTCTTTGCTCCCTTTCCCTCATCTCAGGAACGGTGGTACTCAAACTCCGAGCTCACAGGAACCCACTGGCTTCAAATAGTCCACAGTCTCCCATCATGGGACGGAATTTTATCAGGCAAGGTAAACATTCAGGATGTTCAAAAAAACAAATTCCTGATGAGAGTTAATATCTTGGACAATCCTTTCTAACAGTTCATGAAAAGAACAAAGATTTTAGCAAGAACCAAGCCTTTGCAGTTCTCCATTATTGACCCTTCTCTGTAGCCAGCCCTCTCCAGGGTCCTACGTTCTCTCTCTTCTGTTCCAGACACAGAACCAGACATATTGGTTTCGTCTCTTTCTGGAGGGTCGGAAAGGGTCAGCAGTGTCATGCTTTACTTTCTCCTAACTTTACAAAAATTTCCTTTCCCCTTCATGTTGTTTTAGCTTGATCTGTTTACTTCAGTCCATGCAGAATTGTATCATATGAGAAAATATTAAACACAAGATGGTGTGACAGACATGTTTCTAGTTAATGTATTAAACTGGAAATTTTATTTTTAAGTGTGCAGTTGCTAAATCTTTTGGAGGTTGTACAGTATTACAAATATCACCTGGTCACCTTTCTCTGAATGTACTCAAATTTATCTCTATTTCTTTTATATATGAGTTCCATATGGAATAGCCAACCTGGAACACAAGGGGACTCTTAGTTCTTGTCCTACCTATAAGAGTCCTATTAAAATCACTGATGCACCTTCACTCTTCTGGCTGCCATTTTTGGGGTCACTATGGACGTGTTCCAGTTGGCTGGAAAATAATCCCAAATTGCCCACTTATTACCTGTGCTTTAGTTTCCACGTCTGTAAATGGAAATAATAGTAGTACATACCTCATGGAGTTTTAAGGGTTTGTTTTTTGAGGATTACATGAGTTAATGCATAAAGAATTGAAAACACTCTTTGGTATCCTGGAGATCAATAAGTGTTAGCCGTCAATGCTATCACAGGTATTCTAATAAGTTCTCCCCATCCTGTACTTACTCAGTTTGTTTTTCTTCTTTAAAGAGAACAGCTGGTACATACAGGATGTAGAGAAGTATGTGGTCTGCTATTAGCAAGTGAAAGAGAAGTAAACTAAAATCAAACACGTGTATAAATGTTGGTGGGCAAAGCAAGTTAGCCTTTGCGAGCTCTCTCTGGGTGGGGGCCTTTATCTCTAGTATATGCCTTCCTTATTAGCTTACAATTTTTCCTTTGCTTTAAATGTTCTACACCCCGTGTTAGGCCTTCCTGGTTGTAACTGCAGGTAGTGATAATGATATTGAGTAATCTCCTTAGAGTTTAGTACCTTCTGGTTGCCACTTTGCATTAGTCGAACAAAGGGTCAGGGGACCGTACTCGGGTTCTGCCCTTACCATCTTAGCCTGGTTCATGCTCAGCTGCCCAAGAGCTGCCCACAAGCCTGAGTCTCAGCCCGCCCCAGTGCTCTTTGCGAGCTGCAGGCAGATGTTCAGATTTTTTGTAGCTCAACACCACCAAGCTATGCTGTGACTTTGGTCCTATGGGTAGATAGTGCTAATGAGTTTGAGGATTTCTGAGATGAATTGTTTATCTCCCAAGTTACTAAAATACTAAAGCATACTACATATCTATTAGAGTGTCCAAAACTCCAAAACACTGACAATTCTGGTGACACGGAACAACAGAAACTCTCATTCATTGCTGGTGGGAACGCAAAATGGTACAGCTACTTTGGAAGACAGTTTTGCAGTTTCTTACAAAACTAAACATACTCTTACCACATGATCAACCAATTATACTCATTGGTATCTAGCCAAAGGAGCTGAAAACAAAAACCTCTGCACATGGACGTTCACAGTAACTTTATTTATAATTGTCAAAACTTGAATGCAACCAAGATGTCCCTCGGTAGGTGAATGAATAAAAAAACTGTGATACACCCAGACAATGAAGTATTATTCAATGCTAAAAAGAAATGACCTATCAAGCTTTGAAAAGACATGACGGAACCTTAAATGCATGTTACTAAGTGAAAGGAGCCAGTCTCAAAAGGCTACCGACTGTGTGGTTCCATTTATATGACATTCCGGAAAAGGCAAATCTGACCTGAGACAGTGAAAGATTGGTGGTTGCCAGGGTGTGCAAGGAGTAAAGGATGAAGAGGAGGAGCATGGGATTTTGAGGGCAGCGAAACTATTCTGTACATCATGATAATGGTGGAAATGCATAATTATACATTTATTCTGTGAAATTAAATAATTCAAACTTAAAGCTGTTGGAATTTTAAATTATTCTGAGCCTTGAGAGGAATGTGGCTATGTGGCTTAAGTCATGCGGCATTCAGCTGCATCTGCTGCCTTTTTTTTCCTTCCTATAAATAATTAGGAGGATCAGACGGCACCAGAGGTAAGACCCCCCTTTATGGAGTAATAATCTTCCTTGGAATGTACCAATCTATAACCAATCAAATTGTAATGTACACACCGGTCTCGTGTGGAAAATGTTGTAATCTTGCTAAGATTTCTCTGTCTCTGCCCATACAAGTGAAACCATAACTTCTCCAGTTTGGAATGCTGACTGTGTCTGTCTGGAGTTGGTGTCTTCCAGGTGGCCATCCTCAGGCTTTGTGCTCGAATAAATGCTACACTTAATCATAATTTCTGAATCTCGTTGTTTAATGTTGACATTTCAAACCCATAATGCACAACAGCAGCATGAACCTTAATGTAAACGCCAGACCCTAGACTCAGGTGATAACGTGTTAGTCAACGTGGGTTCAACACTTGTCACCTTTGTACCGGTCTGTGGGGGATGTTGGTAGCAGGGGATGGGGAGCATATGGGATCTCTCTGTACGTTCTACTCAGTTATGCTGTGAACCGAAAACTGCTCTAGAAAGTAAAGTTTATTAATTAAAAACCAAAACAAACCCTAAAACATATGTCAGCCAGCTTCCTTTCTCTCCACAGAGCTAGGCTGCCCCCTCCCCAGTCCTTAGCCAATTGCTCCATCCTCAAACTTCCCCAGCACAGGAAATAGCACTAATAATTCAAAATCCAAAATCTAGTTATCTTTGATTCTGTTTCTTCAGCCCCCTCCCCATCCATCGGTAAATCCAGGTACCTCCAGGGTACATCTGGATGTAACCATTCCTTGTCTCCACCACTGCCACCTTGGATGAAGCCATCACAATTTCTCACTGGCGCTATTGCCACAGACCAACTAAACGGTCTTCCTGTTTCCACTCTTGGCCCTCTCTGAACCGTTGTCCACACTGAAGGCACAGTCAGCCGGTAAGTCACACCGTGTCACACTCCCTGCTTAGAATGCTCCAGTGTCTTTTCACTGCACTTAATAAACAGAATAAGACCCAAACTACATACGCTGGTGTACAAGGCCTATGTGATCCGGCCTGGCCTGCCTCTCTAACGTCTGCTCATACCACTCTGCCCAGCCTCGAAATGCTCTCTCACTCAACCTGCTGGGCATCCTTAGAACAAATGGAAGTTTGCTCCGTTGTTTCTTCCCTCTTGCTGGGCCTCCACTACTTCATATATTTAAAACAAAAAAAGAGGGGCTGTGTTAGGCAGTTTCCGGGGATCACCTTTAGAAGGTAATCTATGGGGGTAAAGTGATAGGAATTCCTTTTTCTCTATAAAGTTGTTTTGCCTACTGCCACCTGGGCTAGGGCAGCCTTGGACTGGCCCAGGTAGACTGAGTTATCTGAGGATGTCCATCCGGGTCTTGGGGTCTCCCGTTTGCTGTTCACCTCTGGAGGCAAAGCAAAGGGCATTCCTCCTAAAGAGCTCTCCCTCGCTGGGGGTCGGTGGGTGCATAAGAGACAGGGGGTGTGCTCACAAGAAGACAGGTTGGAGCAATGCTCGCCCTGTAGAAAAGAGGGGTTTGGCACCGGGCTTTGCTCATGTTATAGGAGATGGAAGCCTGAGCATCTGAGTTCCAGTCTGCACGGGCTGCACTGTCCACAGGTGTCGTCCTCCTCCCTACCTCCAGAGCACTTGTCAGGGCTTCCACGTGAATTGCTAGCATCCCAGGAGATGAAGTCCTCCAGGGAGAAGCGGGGGGTGCCCAGCCATCCTTGCCCTCCAAGACTTCAAAAGTCTCCTTCACACCTTATTTGACTTCTGACCAGGCCAAGCAAAAGACTGTGCAGGGCTGGGCTGGAGAAGATAGACAGGGCCAGGGCAGGTCCTTATGGGAAGTACAGAGATGTTACCCCCCAGGACTGAGAGGAGAAAAGGAGACAGAAGAAGAGGTGGGCAAAGACTAGGCTGCAATTTGAAGATTGTACATTCCACGTGCCTGAGCATGCATCAGATCTTACAGAAACCGTGTAATGGGTTTCCAGTCCTGGCTATGCCACAAACCAGTTATGTGACCTTGGGCAAGTCCCTTTTCATCAGTTTCCTTGTCTCTAAACAAGTTGTGATAAGGTCCCTTCCCTCCCTCATCTGGCTGTGATTCCGCCTCCCACCACGATGGGTGTGGGTGACCTTCTCTCTGGCCAGCAGATGGCAGCACTGGCTCTTGGCTGTGGCTGCAGCCCACAGAACCGTGGCTGGCCACGCTCTCCCGCCTGCAGCCTCAGCGCCCAGCACCCCTGCACCTTCCACCCCTGCTCCCCTCCTTACCTGCGGGAAGCTTCCAGTGTGACGTTCTCAGGAGCATCCTGGATAGAATTCTTTCTAGGAAAAGGCAGACATAAATAATCCATGGAAGCTTCAGGAACAGAGAGGAATGGAAAAGTGATTTTTTTTTTCATGAGCCCTTGGATTCTCCCCACATTTGTGAACTCCCGGAGGGCAGAGGTGCTGTCCTCGTCCCCCATCTCCTGCAGAAAGGCCAGTGCCTGCACACTAGTAAGTGTTCAGAAAGCGTGTGAATTCACGAATGTATTAAAGAACACTTTCATTTTATCAAGTTAATCCTTACAGGCAGCCTTAGAAGTAGGAGCCTAATATTTATTGAGTGAGAAAATTATATCGACCTTCGTGGAGATCAGAAAAAATTACTAAACATCGTGCTAGCCAGGCTCTGCAGCAGGGCTAAAACAATGAATAAGAAACACTGTGCATGGTGGTTACAGATGTGGCCGTGGGACCTCACTGGATTGGATCCAGTTGGTAGCTTCATGTTGCTGAACAAGTTATTTAACCTCTTCGTATCTCCA